GAGGAAAGCATTGTTGACATCCAGCTGTTGTATGGACCAGTTGTAGGTAAGAGCAATAGACAGAATAATCCTGATTGTAATGGGTTTAACAACTGGAGAAAATGTCTCATTAAAATCAAACCCTTCCCTTTGATGAAAACCTTTTGCAACAAGTCTTGCTTTATACTTATTAATGGAGCCATCAGGGTTTTCCTTGACACGAAATACCCACTTGCTGCCAATAGCTTGCCTATGAGGTGGCAGAGGTACAAGAGTCCAAGTGTTGTTGGAAATTAGGGCATTATACTCTGCTTGCATAGCGGCCAGCCACTGAGCACTAGCAAGAGCCTGTTTTACTGACTTAGGTTCAGCAACTGTCAATAAAACCCTAGGTTCCAGTCTAGGTTGTCTGAAGCCAGCTTTGGCTCTTGTGGTCATGGAATGATGATTAATGGGAACAGCTGATACAGGTACTGCTTTGGGAGGAATGGTGACAGAATCTGGTGCTAAATTCTCATTTGTTTGACTGACAGACTGAGAAGAGGACTCATCAGTGGCAGTAGAGGTGGTGTGCTGAAGAGATTCAGAGGGAGCAGGGCTACCAGAAGATCCCACAGGAGAGGAATGAGTACCTGCAGCAGAATGAGAAGACACAGAAGATGTAGCAGAAGGAGGACTAGACTGACTATTAAAGGGCATTGTGGGAGCAGATGAAGGACCAACAGAAGGAGAAAGAATAGATGATGGAGTGGTGAAAATAGGTAAAGGAGAGAGAGAGACATGAGAAGAAGTATTAGGAGGCAGAATAGGTTTAGTGGTGGAGAATAAATCAAGGTAAGGAAACCTTGACTCATTAAACAAAACATCCTTAGAAATGTAGACTTTACCACATGGAGAGAGGCATCTATAGCCTTTGTGAGATGTTGAGTAGCCTAGAAACAGACATTCATGAGACCTGAAATTAAACTTATGAGTAGAATAGGGTCTTAGAAGAGGAAAACAAGCACTACCAAACACCTTGAGAAAGGAATAGTCAGGTTTGATCCCAAAGAGTAAGGAATAGGGCACCTGAGAACCAACAGAAGCTGAAGGGAGTCTATTGATCAAATAGACAGCAGTGGAGAAGGCAAAGTCCCAATAGGGCAGAGGCATAGATGCCTGACTTAGCAAGGTAAGTCCTGTATCCACTATATGTCTATGCTTTCTTTCAATCACACCATTTTGGTGATGAGTGTGAGGGCAGGCAACTCTGTGGACAATGCCCAGTTCTGAAAGAAGCTTATTAAATGGTCTGAATTCACCCCCCCAGTCAGATTGAAAAGCCTTAATGGAGCAGCCAAGTTGTAATTCAACCAGAACCTTAAATTGTTTGAAAATAGACAGTGCCTCAGCTTTAGATTTCAGAAAATAAATCCAAGTGAATTTGGAAAAGGCATCCACAAATGACATGTAGTACTTGAAGCCTAATGTAGACACATTAGGAGAAGGTCCCCATAAGTCTCCATACACTAATTCTAAAGGTCTGGTGTAAGTAGTGTGTGATGGTGATGATGGAAGTCTATGAGACTTACCCATACAACAAGCAGTACAGAAAAAATCCAACTCTTTATTACTGAATGAAACATTACAACTGTTGAGTACAAGTTTAAGTGTCTGAATGTTAGGATGCCCTAACCTTAAGTGCCACTTATTTGAAGTACTAAATCTATCAACATGAGATGAAACTACAGCAGAATTAATACTAGGAGCTGAAGCCTGAGAGCTGGAACTGGTGGAAACCACAGAGCTGGACTTAGACAAGTCAATAGGAGGGAACACATACAAGCCATCAGGACCAACTGAACCCTCTAGGAGAACTTCATGAGATGCCTGGGATTTAACAAGACATTTGTCAGAGGTAAACAGAAAATAAACAGCATTATCTAGGCAAAATTGACTGACACTAATTAAATTCTTAGTAATAGAGGGAATAAGCATGAGCTTATGGAGCATAAGAGGTGTATGAGACTGTGAAGGTGACTGGAATTGACTAGTGCCTGAGGAAGTGATAGTCAAACCTTGCCCGTTTCCAATCAGGATTTGATCATGACCTTCAATAGGAACCAGCTGTTGAAGATTCTTAGGGTCATTTGTTACATGATATGAAGCACCAGAATCAGGATACCAGGCACTGTTAGCAGAGGCTGTAGATGCAGCTTGAGCAACATAAGCACTAGGTGCTGCACCAGCAGGAGCAGCTCTATAGACAGCTTGAGGCCTGGTCCAAACATGTGAAGCCTGCACAGCCATAGGAGTAGGAGAGGTAGTCCAGGCTTGATTGTTGTAGGCAGTACCATAGGTAGGCTGAAACTGCTGGTTGAATCGATGCCAGCAATTGAGAGCTGTGTGGCCAGGTTTGGAGCAAACTTGGCACTGAATAGTAGAGGAGAATCTCCCACCTCTACCCCTGCCTGAACGTCCACCTCTGAAGGATCGACCACCACGAAAGTGTGAAGCATCAGAATCAGAGGACTGGACTTGTGTAGGAGACTGAGATTCCGTAGTGGCAACTACACTCTCATCAGGAGTGGATTGAGCGGGAGTAGAGTGCGTAAGATTGAGAGAAACAAGATCAGGTGTTGAAACCTTTTTGAACTTGTTTAGGCGAAGTTCGTGAGCAAGGAGAAGAATCTCCACTTCATCAAGATCCATTACTCCAAACTTACTTTCAATGACAGAAATAACAGGTGCAAAATCTGATGGAAGTCCTTCAAGAATCACATCAATGTGATGTGACGCAGGCACCGGATCTCCAATAGATGCAAGAGCATCAACAGTATTGCGAATCTTGAGCAGAAATTCTTGAACCGTGGAATTCTCCAAGGAAATCGTTCGTAACTCAACACGAAGTTGACGAGCGCGTGCTCGCGTCTGCTTCTGAAAGTAGTTGAAGAGACGATCCCAAAGCTCATGAGCATGAGAACAGCCAAGGACACGAGAGAGGATTTCACTGGATAGCGTGGATTGCAACCAAGAGAGCAACATTTGATCCTTCTGCAACCATCGCGAATACTCTGGATTGATAGATCCAGACGCACGCGCAGCATCATCAAGAAACTGAAGCGGAATTCGTGAACAAACGACGAACTCAGTGAGTCCGTGAGCGTTGATATACGGTTCGATTTGTTGTCGCCAGAGGTGAAAATTCTTTTCATCAAGTTTCTGTGCGATCTTGAGCGAGAAGTGTAGACGATTCGAATCGTCTTGCGTGTGAAGCTGCGACATTGCCGTCGCACCGGACGGAGTGCGTTCCGGAGTTCGTTCCGGCGAGTTTGGTGACGCCATCGGAGCAAGGAAGAAGATGGATCGAAGGCTTAATCTGATACCATGTTAGAAAGATAGAGAGAGTAGAGAAAGTTTGTTTCCATCTGTAACTACTTTCTGTTATTCATGAAAGCTTTTTTTACACAGATTACAAAGAGGTGACACCTGTTTATATAGGAACAGGGCACCGGTTACAGTAGGTAACCAAGAGGTGGAAACTGCCAGGTGGCAGTTTTCTACTATACAGCAATATCTTCTCTAATATCACTGAAGACACAATCTAACATTCCGAGGAAGCAGGTCACAGATCAAATGGAAACAACTCAAAGGCTTCAGAACACAGAATCCGAAACACATTAGCAGGGAAACTTGGACTCATTGGCACTAGGAGAAATTCAAGTTCATCAGGCAGCCATGGATAACAATTTAATCCATCAGCCATTCAGTTATAAGGAGCATAAACGTACAAGACAGACACAACGGATAACTCAGGACATTCATCCATATCAGAGAGAAATTGGTAAAAATCAAATAAAGTAGGTCAAGGTTCAACTGGAGGCAGGACACAACATCAAAGCATCAAAATATATATCAATTTGGTCAGTTTCCAACACAAACAGACACTATTTGGCAGGACAACTTGGAAGTACAAGAAGAGTGTCACGATGAGGAGTACATGACTAAACAAAAGATGGAAACAGTAGTTCAACCACAAGACCAAGTGCAGGAGCGGTAGGATTTCAATGGTGCACAATTCATTAGCTTAGTACTGGAGAAACAGGAGCTGGACAACATAGAAACTGGAGGCAAATTGGCAACTGTGTACACACAGTCCGAAGGGGATAAACAACAAGAAAGACAAAGAGATTTCTTCACTACACTCAGGCTAGAAATAAGAATGTCAGATCATTTAACAATCAATATATTGAAGAATGAACTTAAAATCAAGATGTGATTTGTTATATATTAGAAGTGATTAAGTAAAATCATTTAAATTTGATTTGTCTAACTAAACTGTCATAGATCCTTAAGAGAAATGAGATAACAATTTGCCACGAAGAGCGAGCTTGTAGGAACAAAAACAGAAACTCACCAAACATGCGTAAATGCATCAAAGTAGGTGGATTGAAGCTTCCAGTTGCTACCAGAATGACATATATGTTGCCACTGCAGAAAAAAGGTATAATAAGTTCAATAGAAAACTCTCTCACAAAACTACACAAAGCATATAATAGAGAAACCTACATGTTTGTACTTCCTGGGGAGGGTTCATTACTAATCAATTCTAAAGCTAATTTATCTAACGGCAACGGAACATCCATGACCTGAAATCATTAGAAACACAAGTAATAATAATAAGATCTCAAGACAAAAACAGAATCTATTTCATTTTTTTCATTGATTAATTCATGCGCCAACAAGAAGAAAATAAGATCAATGAATTCAGTAGTTTTGCTAAAGGACTGCAATAAGAACATGAAAACAGAATCTCAAATGAATTATGATGGTAATGTTTAGATCTCTATCAAGAATTGATACTCACTGCGGGTAGGGAGAAAAATGGCGGTTAAGAAAGCGCGTTGAGGATAAGCGATTAAGCGGTTTCAATTTCAGGAACTTCTCCACTCTCTTGGGATTTCCCGATTGCCGACTGTACGTGTTTAGAGGGACAATGGCAGCACGACGGCGGAGGATGAGAGCGGCGCGGGGACGGTAGGATGACGGCAGGAAAGGAGGATCCGATAACGTTTTCCGGGAATTTTGGTATATAGTGACTTGTACTGTTCTTAATTTTTTTTAAATATATATTGTCCTTATTACAAAATGAAGGTCATTTAATAGTAAAGGTTAAGACATCTAGTAAAATCTGATAAAATTGATTGATCCAAACGACGTAAAGACTCTGTCTTTTCTACCGCAAAGCACTTAATCTGGATCTCCATTTTATCAAAATAAACCAATTTAACTCAAATGGTTTTCAATATTTTGAAGAAATAAATACACTTTTGTTTGAATAGGTTTAAATTGTTTCAAGAATTAAAAGTTATAATTATGAAAATGTTATTGTTCATGCCAAACACTTTTGGATAGCATTTCCAAAGTGAATAAGACAATGTTGCAAATATTTTGTATTTTCATGATTATTATTTTATTGTATATACGGATGTAATATCCCATTTATCTTATATGGAAGCTTCCTTTTAAACTTCCATCTATAGGCCTTGCATTCAATGATTTGTGACCCATACGTTCGCTCATAAAGGAATTTTTCTAACTCTTGTCGCCTCTTTATGAGATATAATGTTATGTTTATGAGCTTCCATAACATCCAAGCGACTTTTGACATTTCGTAACGGCTAGGCCAGTTTCATAGTCGGGGGTCACTGGTGTCCTGCCTTCATATGCCGACAACATCCTGCTTCCTCTTCCTCATCAGGAGTATAAAACCGCACATATTTGTTGTAACGGTTAATATGAACATAGTTATACTCTAACCAAACGTAATCACAAGTATATGTAGGAGACACTGACACGCCTTTTTTCGGAGGCTATATATATGTTTCTCAAATAATGGCTGAATTGAGGCATCGTGTGCCGCATACTAGTTTATAATTTTGTGAAAAGAAACATGTTTATGGCCTCTGAGATATTGAGTTTGTTTTTCTTTGTTTGTTATTTTAATGGGTTTGTTGGATTATTGACTTTCTGGTTGCAGATACTTTTCATGAGGTGAGAAGGAGGCGTGACCGGAAGAAAGAAGTAAGATTTTGTTTCTGTCTTCTTATTTAGTTTACTTCTGTTTTACTGTTGCTTGTTGTGCATTATGATGCAGTTGGTGTGTAGATTTGTAATTACATTCGAAAGTTAGGTTGCTGAATCTGATTGATTTCTTACCTAAATAGCAAAGTCAGATATCCATTTGTTTGTGTTAATGAGTAGATCAGTTGGAGTGGATGAATCTTTTAGTTGTTTAACCCTTAATCAAAGTTTAGCTATTTTGTTCATTGTTGTAACCTGCTGGGTAACCTCTTGTTGTATCATGAGCTCACTTGAGCTGCCATTGTGTCGCATTATGAACAGAGTGATTCGGAGACTATGTTTAGTTTATATAAGTTTATTCATTTTCCTTGACTGTCTGAATATGCATGGTTGCAATAGGTATTTGATTTCTGCCATTTAGGGCGCGCTGTGTAATCGTACAGTATCACTTGCAAACTGTAAAAGACCTGTTTTGTGTTTTGCAGTGGGTTACATACGGGTTATTTAACATACATTTCGTGTTTGTTTTTGTGATTGCACTAGTCTAGTTGTTACCATAACTTTCTCTAACATTGTTTATAACTTGACCATTATAGGGATCGAGCAGCAGGGTCTCTGAGGAGTCTAGATCAAGGCAACATGGACAGGGGAGGGGGGCAAGGGGAGCTCAGGGGGCTATTCCTCAAACTTTTTTGGTACAATTTTCATGCCTTTTTTTTAAAGGCTTGGTAGTTGGATTTGTTTTCGTTTTCCTCTGTTTCGTTTAAGATCCTTTCCACTTAAGGTCACCTAGAAACCATCAGTCTGTAAAATACTTTTGGAATGCAACACTAGTTAGTTGTGTTATTTTTTTAATGATTTTGTACACTAGGTGATTCTTTCCTTCTAAAACAATTTATGACATATTTTACTTAAGCCCTGCAAATTATACTTCTGTTTTGTTTTGCATGAGCTCTATTATACCCTTTTTTAATCAACCAGGATGAAATAGAGTAGCACTCCGTCCCTCTTTTTTCTTATGGTGCTATGCATCATAGAATTTCCTGCCTACTTTATTAGCTCATTATTTGTGACATTTCCTTGCAAGATCTCTTTTAGATGGTGGCGGCGGGAGGAACTTTGCTAATCGAAGAGAAAATGGAGTCCATCATATTGCAGAGAGAACTAATGTTTCCTCTACACAGACAGATTTACAGAAAATATCTAATACACCACCTCAAGCCTCAAGGTTGTAATTTTTATATATATTTTTTGACTTGCTTTCTTACTATTTTATCTCTGATGATAAGAAAATGTAATAGTGGAAAGAAAAGGTTTATTTTCTTGTTTATTGCTAAAAGAAAGGCAATACACAGAAAGAAGTGAAAAGAAAAATAGTATGGCGATAATTGATGTCCCTATTGTATTTTGTTTGTTTGCGTCTAAAATTATAACCAAATCTTGTTTTGATTTTGGTAAAAATCATTGTATCGGGTGAGCCTTTTACAAAACTTAACATTAGCACTCTTTATTGTTTCATAACTTAATGTTTAATAACTGCAATTTTGAAGTAATTTCCTACTTGATTTCTGGTTTACTGATAGTTTATTTGAAAAGTGACTTGCATGAGCAAATTGATAATATCTCATGATTCTTCAATTGCAGGGGTTCAGCTCTTGCACCCCATAGTGCTGCAAATCCATCCAATGAGAAGTCTGGTCATGGTTCTTCTAACCAATCTCTCATAGGAAGTGTAGTGAGTGTCCCTAAAACCAGTTCAGCTGCTAATGACACTGTCAATCAAGAAAATATCCAACCTCAAGCTGTTGTTGCTGTTGTCGCAACCATTTCCCCTAACGAAACCGTCGGCTCAATTACAAGAACTGACCAAGGAAAATCTTCAAGTTCTGACCAAGGAAAATCTCTATCTAGTTCTGATCAACATCCAGTTTCTGTATCTAGTGTTTATTCCTCTTCAGATTCTATGCTGGTACCATCTATCGCCCAGAATCCTGGTGTTGGTGGTGCCATCAGTAGGGAAGTAGGGAATGACTTGATATCTACCGGGCCAAATCATGTTAAAGGAAACAAACTCGAAGAAGCTGGTGATTTATCAGCATCCGAGAAAGAAAAGTCCATGTCAATGATTTCAACTAGCAACCCAAATGCCTTACAGAAGTCAAATGAAGTTGAAAGTAACCAGTTATCTGAGCCCTTGCAACTCTCGTCCTCTTTATCATTGAATAGCTCTTTGAGACCACCTCAAGGTAAAGTTCTTATTCTATATTTGTTAATCTTGTAACAATATTGTTTGACAAATCCTGTTTCCAACTACACCCTTTCCGGTAAAGGTTGTAACCCTGAATTTTTTAATCCAAACAATTTTACTAGATGGATCCCGTCATGGTTTTCACAATTATTGGAGGGAAGTATTAACCCTCAAGCGATTAACTGAACTGAAGTAAGGCCCACATGGTCTAGAAAAAAGGTGGGGGAGAAACCTTTGAAACCTTTTTCTGAAGAATGAAGATATTTTTAAATTTTAAGGGAAAATCAGCCTGATTGTGCCTATAATATAATTTAAACATTAACTGTCACCCGTGTTTTGGTTTTTTCTCCAATCAGTTAACTCAGATTTAATGTGCTGAAATAAGCCCGCATTTTAAGAAATCATACTGATAAAGTCCAGAGTCACCAAAAATTCTGTTATTTATAAGTTATTTTCTGCTCAATTATTTTTGTTGTATCTCTAACTGTATACTTTTATAATTATAATAATGCCCTTTCGGCGTGTTTGCAGATGTTTCTGAAACAGCCAATGTCCCAGAAGTCTCCGCTTCAGAAGCTCATGTGCAATCAACTGAGTTGAGGCCACTTGTTACTTTTCCAAACCATTTCCAAGTGCCCGAGGCTTTGAAAAGCGGCCTGACATTTGGAAACTTTGATAATTTTGGTACAAGTGAAAGATCTTATAGTGTAACTGGTTGTGACAATAGTACATCTTCCACTCCTGAAACTTCTCCAGGGAATGATGAAGCTGTTACTTCTAGGTTTGTATTTTATAGGATTCCTGTGTGCTTTTTTTTTTGCATAGCAAATTAAAGATCTATCATATTTTTTCTTTCTGTCTAATGCCTTTTAAATTGTATAAAAGTGATAGTTGGGTTTACTTAGATTTGTTATCTTACATTAAACCTCTTCATTGAGGGTTGTTTGATATGAGAGTAGAGAAGAGAGGGGTTTGATGGGATTGAAGAGAGGGGTTTGATGGGATTGAAGGGGGGAAGGGAGGTCAGTGTTTGTACTAGCGAGTTTTGGGGAGGAGAGTGGTATTGAAGGGGGGGGTAATGATTTTTGTTTGTTTCTTAATGCTCTCCATAACCCTCCAAATTTACCCCCCGTGCAGGGAGTAACTATTCTCCCCTCCCCTACCATTTTCATCTCTCTTTCCCCTCAAACCATAACCTCCCCTTCCGATCCCAAACAAACCCCAAGAATAACTATCATAAACCTCAAAGTTGGTGGTGCTATTAAGGTGTATAGGTTCTCTTGTTAGGTTGTAGTATTTTACCTCTTTCAAGACCGACTCAGGGTATTGTTCCTGAATGAAATGTTTTTAATGCATTAATTGATTGATCTTCTTATTACCAGAATGTATTTCTTGTTGGCGAGCTACTGTAATCTATGTTTTGATGGTATTTCTTGTTTTGATGTAGCAACCAAAGTGTGCCTTTGATTGAACACGGAGGTCATGTTGATTATGCTCATTCTTCATCTTATCTAGTTACAACGACATTGGCTTCAGAAGGCATTTCTGTAACTGATAATGATTCAAAGATTGAGCAGCCAAAGCAGGAGGTATTGTTAACTCCCGAGGGCCATCCGATTCTGACTGTTCAAAGTGCTCAAAACTATGGTTTGAATTTAATGTCTACCATGTTAGGGACTCAGCAAGTTCAATTTGACGGTAGTGAGCTTCAGGCCCAAGAAACATCACACTTACCTTCATTAGTTGTAAGTTCCTCCATCCTGCATTATTTTTTAAGATTTTCATTCACTTTATATTTATTAAAATTATATTGCACTATGTTTTTAATACTATCTTTTTGGTTTGGTGTTCTGGTATTGGCTTGTATCAGTAGGTTGGAAATGTTATTAACTTCTCTCTCAAATTAATTTAACATTTGTAATTTTTGAAATATTAAATATGTTTTTCTTTATGCTAAAAGCTATTTGCTCTGAGTTGATTTCCCGAAATTGTATGATTGGAAACTCAGCAACAAAATGATAGTAGTGTATATATATATATATATATATATATATATATATATATATATATATATATATATATATATATATATATATACTACAAACTAACGCATCATTCATCAATCCTGTTCAAATTCAACAAAGTATCGATACAAGGCTAACATCCTACTCTAACACAACCAAGAAAACACAATTACGCAGAATTTTAACATATATCGATACAAACCAACGAGCTCAAAAATCAAACAGAATTAGCATATTCAAGGCTGACGAATCATTTTCTCAGATTAAAATCAAACAAAATATATATATATATATATATATATATATATATATATATATATTTTGTTTGATTTTAATCTGAGAAAATGATTCGTCAGCCTTGAATATGGATATATATATATATATATATATATATATATATATATATATATATATATATATATATATATATATATATATATATACATACATACATACATACATACATACATACATACATACATACATACATACATACATACATACATACATACATACATACATACATACATACATACATACATACATACATACATACATACATACTAACGCATCATTCATCAATCCTGTTCAAATTCAACAAAGTATCGATACAAGGCTAACATCCTACTCTAACACAACCAAGAAAACACAATTACGCAGAATTTTAACATATATCGATACAAACCAACGAGCTCAAAAATCAAACAGAATTAGCATATTCAAGGCTGACGAATCATTTTCTCAGATTAAAATCAAACAACATATCATTTCAAATTGAAAAGACCATGAAATCGAATCTATATTTTCGCAGATTCATCAACATATCAGTTCAAACTCGAATTTGTAACAACTATTCATCATAGAAACTTGAACACAACTTATATCAAAAGAAAATGAAACTTACTGAAATGTCAAAATTATCAGAACAGTTGAAGATGCAATTTGTTATCAAACTGAAATGAAGGAAGTTGTTCCAGATGGCTTATGGTTGCCGCTTGCAGAGAGGAATTTGATGATGATGGTTGATGATAGATGTTGATGTTGTTCAGTGGATTTGTAATGAGGTGCTATAGCAAATCGAAGAAGAATCTGTTAATGGAAAATTGGAGAATAGAGGAAACAACAGTGGATGTAAGTGAGATTGAGGGGATGGAAGGTGGAGCAGTGATGATGGTTGTATAATACATCAGCGGGATTAGTTTATCGGAGGGAGTTGTGTTGCACTCAGAAGAGCGGTTGGTGAAGAGAGCAAATCGAAGAACGATTTCACGGAGGAAGATGGTGAGATGTTGTCGTGAACGGTGATGATGAACGCTGACGGAGACGGAGGGATTTGTGGTCACACTGGAAGTGGATGGTTGTTGGACCGACGTTAGTGCGTGAAGAGGTGGAGGAGATATCTCGAGATGAAGAGAAACTCTTCTTTTTCGTTTTCCCTTTTCAATTTTCTTGAGATCTGATATTTTTCTTCTCGTTCTTGTGATTCCTTTTCCTCTTATCAAGTCACACAAATCTTATCCAAATTTTTTCATCAAAAGACCAAGAAGCCCTTATGTCAAGATATTTTCAAATTTAATCATAAAATAATAATTAAACAATCATTTATATGCAAATTTCTTACAAGATAAAAACTATCACTAAGATTGAATTTAAAATATAAAAAAAATAAATAAAAAAACATATATTTTTTATAATCAATTTTTTAAATATTTTTATCAAATACTAATAAGAATAATAAAATTTAAATACAAATTGCCTAAAAGTAAAAAAAGAAAATATATTTGGATGAAAGATTTAAATCGAAAATAAAAAGCAAAATAAGCGTAAAATTGAGATATGCATGAAAATTAAATAGGATAAAAATAATGTGAGTGAGAACCATTCAAAGTAAAATTTAGGGTACAACAACCACTCCTATTTAAATTTCTTCAACCAGATAATATGAAGATGATCAGACTTTATATAATTGTAGTGGGAGATGGTTAAATACTAAAGAACCTGAAATTTTACCCTAATATACAACAAATATTAAATTTATTATAATATCCTCTTTATTAAATTTAATGGAATGTTAGAAAATGAAATAAAAGAATATATTAAAAATTATAATATTAAATAATTTAATAATAATTAATTTTTACTTAGTAACAATAATAAAAAATTAAAACATTTTTATTGCTTATAAATATGTCTAAAGATTATAACTAGTAATTACACAACATCGAAATTCACAGCCACTAAACTCCTTGAATAAAAATAAAACAATATTCTTCAAAATCATCACACCATTTTAGACATTTTTTTTATTCTTCTAAATGATTCTATAAGGTATCAATTAAGCTCTACATCAAAAAAACTAAAAGCCAATGGTTGACAAAGTATAAGTTAACAACATAGTTTTGTTGAGCTAGGCCAAACATACAAGAAAGCTCAAACCGCTGAAAAGTAAAACCACCCTCACTTTCAAGATTGACCAGAATGCTTCCAGTTTAACTCATAAGTAACTGACAAGTTCTCTGGTACCAAAGAATCTGAAATTTTGGTATATAGTGACTTGTACTGTTTTTAATTTTTTTTAAATATATATTGTCCTTATTTCAAAATGAAGATCATTTAATAGTAAAGGTTAAGACATCTAGCAAAATCTGATAAAATTGATTGATCCAAACGATGTAAAGACTCTGTCTTTTCTACCGCAAAACACTTAATCTGGATCTCCATTTTATCAAAATAAACCAATTTAACTCAAATGGTTTTCAATATTTTGAAGAAATAAATACACTTTTGTTTGAATAGGTTTAAATTGTTTCAAGAATTGAATTAAAAGTTATAATTATGAAAATATTATTGTTCATGCCAAACACTTTTGGATAGCATTTCCAAAGTGAATAAGACAATGTTGCAAATATTTTGTATTTTCATGATTATTATTTTATTGTATATACGTGATGTAATATCCCATTTATCTTATAAGGAAGCTTCCTTTTAAACTTCCATCTATAGGTCTTGCATTCAATGATTTGTGACTCATACGTTCGCTCATAAAGAAACTTTTCTAACTCCTGTCGCCTCTTTATGAAATATAATGTTATGTTTATGAGCTTCCATAACATCCAAGCGACTTTTGACATTTTGTAACGGCTAGGCCAGTTTCATAGTCGGGGGTCACTGGTGTCCTGCCTTCATATGCCGACAACATCCTCTTTCGTACATACTACCCTTATGTTGTCAACCTTAAATGGGCTTCTGGCTTCATATATCGATTTATTGTCATCATTATATAATGTATGTTGCATGGGTAAGGTACATAGGTTACCATCTACCTCATCTAAAACTGATGGAAAATAACTTAATTTGTTTAAAAAAATAAAACTGATGGAAAGGCTGCCTAAGGAGTTCTCTAATCTGTTTATCTGAGAAGATGTTGTTCACGCAGCATACTCACTTACTTCGCCTGAAAAATTCAGCCAATGTCTCAACACAAGCATCGATTACAGAAAATATAAACTGAAGCAGAACTAATCAAACTTCAACATATTCCAACAATTACTGGACTGAAGCACTCAAAAATATTGTGCCCTGCACATGTCAAAACTATAAGGAAGAAAAATAGAAAGGGAGGAACCGTGAGTTTGAAACTCAGAAAATTAGAAACAGAATTAAATCAAAAGATGAGTCTCAAGCACCCTTTCTCGCTCATCCTAACCGAATTCCAAAATCCTAACAAACTCTAACAAAAATATAAAACCGATTCATACCTTGATTAAGTAAATGGAATTGGAGGACATGCGAACGAGGAAGGAGTCGTCGGTGATGGATGGTGTTTTGCGATGCATTTTTTTGGTTAAGAGTGAGAAGATGAGGTTTGTATCGTGGAAGATGAATAGACACAGATTTCAAACCCTAGAAACCGATCTAAAATGTTGCGTTACATCTGCAGCATATTTTCATTTTATTTGTTCTTTTGTAATTAAATATAAAACAAAATAATTGAATCAAATAAAAAAATGCTAAATTGAAACTGGTGATGATTGGAGTGGTTGGGCCTCCGAATTACATCCCTTTTTGGCCCGTTAGATCTTTTTTTTTTAGCCTAATTGCTTGGACAAAAAATGCCATTTGACTCTTTCCTTAATGGGCCTAGCGCCCTGATTTCTGCACCATAATGATCCAGCTTAGCACCCCCTTAGCTCACTAATTCTTTGTTAGATTTAGGACTTTATCTTTGTTAATTTTTTCTATGACAAAATTATAAAATCAATAAAATTTGTTAGATCTCTTTAGTTGATTTTAGAAATTAACTCTTTAGTTTTTGATAGAATTCTCCTCACATAAAAAAAACTAATAAAAAATACTTTTTCTTTTAGTTTTTTTATTCATATTTTCATATTGTTGTGCCTCATTATTTTTTACGCATTTGTTCATTGCGCAAGTTACATTTTGGTGCTTTCGACCATGTTACATAATAGGTTGTTATGTGATCGAAGCATATGGCTTATGCTCACTTCTGATGCGACACACCTTATTTCTCATCATCCTTAGAAATTCATATAATATTATATGTCGTCCTGATACATGTGATATTTTGATACTTTGTGCAAGAACTTATGATTACGTGTTGCATTCACAACATGCGTGTGCTTTTATCTTAGTTGGATATCGTTTCTGACTTTGTTTGTTTCTTGGTGAAGCTTGCTCGAAGCGTACTCTTTGCTTCTCCATTGCTTTCGTCCGCTTTCGACGATCTGTTTTCTTTTGGTAGTCGTCGCTGCTACTTTTATATTTTTCCGCATTTTATCGCATTTCTTTATCGTTTTTCTAGATATCATGAGAATTAGGAATTAAAGAGCGTGTGCTCGAAGTCGACGTTTAAAGTCTTGTAGCAGGCACCACTTTCTGTATGATATCGTGTTTGTTTAAAATCCTACCTTTGAAGTAGGTATTCTACATGTGTATTTAGATTTGTGCTTGTATCTATTCCCTCATACCTTATTGAAGTCCTCAAAAGGAGGAGAGTGGAAAAGGGTTAGCAATCGACCCCCGTGCATTTTCTTCGTGTCATCCTTAGCTCGTGACGCACCATGATGCTTCAGAGTTATGCCTACACTTATTATCGAGTCATCAAGTGGTAAAGGGTTTCACAATCAAACCCACACACTTTGTCTTAATCTCACGTTGGACGACGTTGACGCTCCGTGTTTTTCCTATCCCTGTTTACAATAATTTATGGTAAACAACCGCTAGTCCTCCAAACTATCAAATAATCTTAATGACTGTTATTTAATCTCTCTGGTAACTTGCAGAATCGACTAGATTGATCCTATGGTGTATTGGTCGTTTGGATGATTCTCATTGTAAAACTGATAGTCATGGTTGGTATTTAGAATGTTGTGTAGTTGTTCAACTTACTTCGATTACTCTATTAAAGATCTAATGACATGATCAAGTAAATACGTGCGAAACTAAATTGCGTGAATAAAGGTTCAATTGTAAAGACATGTAAAACTGCAAGAAACAAGTAAATAACTTTGAAGTATAAAAGCATGTAATGTAAAAGAGTTTCTGAAATGTAAAAGATTCGAAATAGAAAGAAAGCGTTTAAATGCAAGAAATCAGTAAAATGACTTTGGATGAAAAGGTATTCGAATGATAAAAACATGAAGATAACAGCATAAAAGGTATAAGAATCTCTGAAATGTAAAGTACTCGGAATAGAGGAAAAGACTTTCAAATGCAAGAAATCAATAAATGACTTTGAATGAAAAAGATTTTAATGTAAAGGCTTTTGAATGATATTGACATGAAGATAGAGGATAAACTGGAAATGATAAAGAGTTTTATTGAATCATAAATATTTGGTGTTATCATACATATATTGTTCGAGCATTCGTTTCCCTAGCCATGTGGTATTTTGAATGTTTACTGAATTTTGTACAATAGATATGACACACGAAATCCTAACGCTAAGACTTCTATTTATACTACTTCGACCATAACGGTCTTGCCTATAAGATTCTGCCACGTTCAGAACATGCAAAGCAATGCCCCTCTCTAGCTTCCACGCGTCTTCGAATGCTCCAGCGCATATATTTTAAATTTCAAACATCCCGCTTGCGTTTGAATTTCAAATGTTTTGGCACTCTTCGTTTCGAACTCATTTCTTGGACACATCCTTGTTACCATTTCGAGACTTCTTTTGAATATATCCCCATAACTGTCACTCGAAGCTCCGAGCTTTGACATGCCCATTCGAAGCACTGCTTCTACCATTTTCGAAACATGACATCTTGCTTTATTC